ACAAAAATTAGGTTTATCTGTGTTTTCTTAAATATTTACCTTTTAAATTAATAAATTGACTAATGTATAGTATTAAAGTTTGAATTATAATCTACAGTTTGATACCAAAGTTATTGACATAAATTCATGAAATAGCAGTTCAATTAAACTTTGAATGCAAGTCAACAAACAGGATGATATGGCCTTTTACCTTTGTCCCATCTCGAAAGGGTTAATATGTTTAGATTCAAAGTAAAGAAATACAGTGTTTACATTGTTTAATATAAAACCGTTAATTAATTTATTTATACAGCAAATGTAGCCTTATTGGTCTTGTGATTTTTTTAAAAAATTAACAAAATGTTAAATAAAAGTTCACTACTATAATTTTTTTCATCATTATATATAAATGTAGTTTTTTATTGCTTGAAATATGATTTCTATTACAAATAGCATTTTTATGAAACAAAAGTTTCTTTCCAATAATCCTCTGTTGGAGTAAAAGATTTTCTTCTTTTCCTAGGTTTCAGCAAACTGTTTGGAAGCTGCAATGACACTCTGGTGTAGAACAAAGCCTTTACCATCTTTGGAATGCCCCACTGACAAAGAAATTGAGGAAGGAAAACAAAAGGAACTCAGAAAGAATGAAATGAACATTAGGTGATATAACACAATATTATATATTTTGAATATATTTATTCTTAGGTAATTTACATGTTCTTAGCTTTAATTCCTCTTAAGTTACATTTTTGGTTACTGATTGTGGTGTCTTTCCAGTAATCTGTAGGTATTAATGATAGTTTGTTAACTCTCTCAACATGGGTTCAGTCGATTTGATGACCACATGGCCTCTTTGTACTCATATAATCTTTATATATTTGATACTACTAACTTTTAATATTGTATGTATATCTTCACAAAATTTGGCAGTCTTTCAGTAGTTATAAGTCTTTTACATACAAAAAAATCACATTTTTTTTTAAGTATTTTTGTCTGTGAATATATCGAGTATTTTTTTAATAGTCTGCTGTGTGCAAAGTGATTTTCATGATAAGATTAAAAATACTTTTCTTCATCTCAAAAACCTCGGATTTGATTTGTGTAATCTCTAAGACCTCCTAAATACATTTCAAATGTTTGATTTCACTATATTTTATCTGTTATTTTCTCTACCCTAACTCTATACAACATTGGTCAATTTGACCGACCTTGTAACCACCAAAAAAAAATCCTTTTTTTTCTTTTTAGAATGGCTTCAAATTGTAACATGAAACTACATTCGTTTATCCTAAGTAGCTTTAAACTCGTAACAGTATACATCTATTTATAATTAAATTTTATTGGTTCATTGCCCTATGAACTGTGTCTTAACTACTATTCGTGCCATTATATGTTGTAAATCACTTGGGGAACTTGTAGGTCATATTATGCTATTGAATTACATTACCCACGAGCTGCTTGCATGCATGCCTCGTGAAACAATTTTATTATATTATTATTATTTATTTTACCAAATCTAACTGTAACTAACCTAAAGAGATTCTAATTTTTACATTTTAGTTACTTTTATAATAGTAAATAAAGAATAAACATGGAAAACAAGAAATCAAATACTTATCTGAATCTTCTTTTTTCTTACTGTCAATTGTTGATGACACTTAACCCTACTTTATTTATACTAATGCACTAAATAATTTTTATTTAATTAAATAATGCACCAAAGAACAAAGAATAATAACATGCAAAAAATAGACAATTTTCCCTAACTATCACAATCTTTCTGACTTTCTATCTATTCGACAAGAACTGTTACAAAATCATCCAAGCTAATTGTTATCTTTCCCATGGAAAGGAAGCTTGTACTAACAGTGAAATTGACAATTGTCCATTCAGAAAAGAATGTTATATAATGAGTCATTTGTTGGATGAAGAACTATTAACAAATCCTGAAAGAGAGGATGTAACGGGTAGGTGTGGCAAGAAGGGTCCGATTTTCTATTTGATCGCTCTGTAACCAAACAAAATTGAAAGCTATAAAAATTATGGTTTGTTTGAGCAATGATGGTTTTATAGTGAGTAATTTACATTGAATTTCGTACTTAGTGGAGGGGTGGTGGAGAAAATAGAAAAGAGGAGATGCCTAGAGAAATGTGTCACACTAGGGGAAATTAAGGATTTTTTGAAATATTGCCTTGTAAAAGTAAGAACTTAAAATTTATATACTATTAAAATATGGATTATTAGCTAAGAGTTTATGCTATACTAATTGGTGTAACATAAACAAAAAGTAAATTAATAAAATTTTGAATGTAAGTCACTAAAACCTTTTGATGTGCACAGTAAAGGGTGCCCATCATGATAGGGTTAATCCACATTGAGAAACAATATGTATTAATCAGTTTTATATGTTTATAAGATTATGAACAGTGGTTTTGTTACCAGTACAATAATTGTGTTGCTTTCATTACATTGCAGCAACTACCAGGACCTAGTGAAAAGTTTAGTAGACTTGATTGAAAATGGAAACCTGTGAGTGTGTTTTTTATGAAATAAAAAAACAGATATAATAGCTTTAGCTTTGACATAAATTTGTAATTTAAACATAAAAAGGTTGTGTAAAATTTGGGAATATTACTTTTGAAGTAATGCAAGAGCTAGCATTGTGTGAAATGTTTTTCTTAAAAATATGATAGATTTGTTTTTGAGGATATAAATAAGTGTATCGTTTTTTTTTGTCAAAAAAAATCTCCAACAATGCTAGTTCTTACATTATTTCAAAAATAATATTGTATAATATTACATGTATATAAAATATACAAAGCTAGACATAAAAATTCTCCTCAAACAATGAAAAATATGTAAATTGTATATTTTACAAGTTTTCTCTATTTATAACTATAATTTTTGTTGCCTTTTTTTAAAGCATTTCCATAAATTACCAAATAATAATTGATTTTATTATTAATTCAGAACCTTAATGAACATTTTCAGCTGTTGGACCATTTATTATTATTAGTATTCTATAAATACAAAAACAATTTCAGTGAGCTTCTATTTTGACTTGATCCTGACATTAACTGGTCAAATTATTGTATACATTTTCTTCTGTGTCTCATTTTTATGACAATTGAGCTGCACTATTTTTGCAGTTGTTAATTGAAAGTAATCTGTTGTGATATATGTGTCACGAAATAAGTGTTAAGTTTTTAAGTTAAAATTGTTAAATGGTTATAGTTTTTCTAATAAACTACAATCTTGTAAATTGTATGTCTGTTCAATAATGTAGAATAACTAGCAGATAACATTAAGTTTTCAAATATCTACATTATCAATATGATTTTTCATTTGTATATCAGCAATATAGTTGTTTGAAAAATTAAGACATCTTTCTGTAGCTTGTATGAGAACTAAGTTCCAATGTTACCATACTTGAAACTCAGGTTTTTTTTTCCAAATTTGTATGTAAAAAGAAATATTACATCTGTTTAGTCTTAATAGCAAATTGGTTTAGCTTTACATGATTTTCAATTTGAGTATAAAGTCAATCACAAAATATGTATATATATATAATAAATATTATGAAAACAACCATAATATTTCAGGAGAAAATATTAAGTTTGCTCAGTGTTTTGCTTTACAGTTCTTTTTGGAGTACTCTGTACAAATTTAGTTTATTATCCAGTTGCACTTTACTAATAATGCAACAAAAGTAGAATACACTGAAAAGCCTCAAAGTCATTTTTCTACTGTTTATCATGTTATTGATGTTTTAGTCAGTAATATATAAATTAGAAAAAATAGTGTTTATAATGTTTTGTAATCTCTCTTTGTTGCTAGTCATTGGCGGCATAATCATCTTGCCCTGATAATGCTGAAGATGTTGATTCGGCATGATGTTGCTTTTCCACATGAAGCTGTTAAACTCTTTGCCCAGCATCTTGTTCATGATACTCTAATGATGCGCAAGGTTGGTAATTTGAACTATATTTTATTTTAAAAAGTACAGTGGTGGTCTTAAGAAAGTTTACACAGGCATGTGGGAGACCCATGAGTACAGCACAGATTGCTCACTTGACCATGCAAGGTTTTGCAATCTACTTACATATATGGCTAAACCAGTGTAACGCAAGACATTTGTCTACAGTTTTTGTGTGATTTAAAGGTTGATGTTTTAATGTTTCCTCTGCTTCTACTAAATGGCAGCATCAGCTAATTCAGGAAAAAAAACAACATACAATACATGTACAAACTGGATACATTTCAATATAACCATCAACACTTAGTCTTTTGCCAAGTAGGCAAATGCAGCTAAGTGTGCAAGTTATTGTGCAAAGAAGTTTTACAAATCTTACTAATGTGAAATAATGTTTACCTCTGATAACATAACTGTGAAAACTAATAAAAGCACACATAAAGTTCTCATTTGGAAACAACAATACATGTGCATGTGTGTTTTTTTTAGAAACAACCATACATGTGCATCAGTGTTTTTGTTTTGTTTTAAAAACAACCCCTACATATGCATCTTTGTTATTTTTTGTCAATTTTGTGGCTTACTTTTATGTACATAAATTTTAAGAGAAATAGCATTCCAACTTGTGTACTACAAAGACTAATGTCACATTTTTTGTTACCCAACTTGTAGATATTTTAACAAATTACCTTTCATAGTATAATGAAAATGGTACACATGAAAGTTGACTGTGCACATGAGCACAATCTGTATCTAGAGAAATAAAATGTAATCTTGAAGCAGTGTTTTAAAAGTTTTTTGTTGTGATAACCTGAGTTTACATACTTAGTTGCCCCAGGCAAACCATTTTTTTTTATTTTTTTTTTTGTATTGAACTGAAATCTTTAAATTTCAAGGCATGTGTTTTAACAATAGCCAGTGCAGGAACTGTACACAACGATATGAAAAAACATTAGCCATCAAATGTTTCAACAGTATTATTCAGCTTGGCAGTGCTATAGAGGCTGAGACAATTCCATTCTCATTCATAGAACAGTTTCCCTGGTTGATATATATGCATATATAATATAGGAAAAGTCACTAGTGATTTATTTAGTGGAGACTTGTGTTGCTAATCAGTATGATGCCACTATTTGTGAGATGGAGGTCTACATAATAATGCAATCTAAAAACCTTGTGTATATAAGGAGATATATTTATGGGGCAGAAAACAGCACATGACTATGGCCATTTACAATGAGAGTATACTCGTGTGAAATGTAATCCTTCTCATAGATTCAAGACAGTGTAATATTTGCAATAATTTATTTCATTTGATTTGAAAAATCATGTAAGCTATAATATTTAAGGAGCATTTTCTTAAGGAATTTGAGATGATTCTTAAGTCGTTCAGTAAAACAGTTGAAAGTATCTGAATTTATTACTTTGAGGCAGTATAAACTTGGGTATAAAGCAGTCCTTGTAAATGTTTTCAATCTAGTAGCTTAAAACTGTACCATAGAATTTTATTTCCTAAGGATGTATTATGCTTCAAAATTTTAAGTTTAGTTGTTTGTATGTACATATTTTATTTAAATAATCTGAATGTTGAATATTTTTATTAATAAGATTGTTAAAAATTTTAATGGTGTTTTTTGTTTTGTTTGTTTGTTTCTTTTCTTTCACATCATGTCTATGAATTTGTTTTATCCCACATATGGTAAAATAACAAGTTCTAGATTAATTAAACACTGTATTTTGGTGATTCCTATTTAGACCAGGTACACAGTTTCTTAAGTTTGAATCAAGAGTGGGTGATACCCCAACAGGTAACATTATATCACTAGGTAGTACAACAATACATTATGAATGCATATTTGCTAAAAGTGTTTTGAAAGTTTGACTAAAACAGTCATTAAAGTGCCTGGGTAGAGGTTGTAATATTATGGACTAATTAAATGTTTTGCTCAGAAAAACGAGACAGTACATTTTATTGGCACACAAACAAAAGAACATCAATGCAGACTTTTTAAACAAAGTTTAGTTTATTGCAGAGAGTTTCAGCAAAATGCTAAATTGCAGCACGATATTCGATCAGTTTTATAATTTGTGCTTAGAATATTAAAATATTGTCTAAACGTATCAGTTATTATGTAGTTACTATAAAATATATTCATTTTATTAATTGCTTGATACTCTCAAATGTTTCAATTTCATATTACTAAAACTATCCACAGTGTGTAAGTGAAGCCTAACTGGTCATTTGTATATTAAAAAACAAATTACCCCTTTTTTTTTACTTGTTATCAGTATGTATATAAATACACACTAAGATTCTAATAGCTGTACTGCTAGCAACTGATTGACTTATCTACCACCATGGCATAATTGAGTAAGTTTCCATCTCTGTGAAATGTGTGACTCAATCTATTATAATACAGATGTATTACCTTGTACTTATGAGTAAAGTTTATTTACCAGTATACAGTGCTAGAAATATTTAGTTTTGTATAAAATTAAGTGTAGGTAAAGCTATAGAAAGATGAGATCACTAAATCAAAATATTTGTGATAGTTATTAATTTTATATAAAGTTTCATCATTGCTAAAAGTTACAAACATAGAGCCAGAGTTAGAGAAATTTAAATGGGTAAAAAAGTGAAAGTACATGTATAAGCTAGAAACAAAAGTGAATATTACCTTTATAACTTATACCTTTAGACTGAAACAAAATGAAACTGATCTATTGAAAACCATTGTTATTATATTGGTAATTTTGCCTTTAATTTTCAGCCAGAGCTTTCAAAAACTTGTTAACCTTCAGTTACTATGAAGACTTCTTATAACTTTTATATTATTTCAAAACAAAACTATCACCAGTATTTTCAGGTTTATAAATGAGATGTAGTAAAATGAAACAAATTTTTACACCATTAACACATTAATTTAATTTTTACATATGATTGTAATGTTGTTTTTTTTCTTTTGCTTCTGTTAAGTTTTATTTGAAAATTATAGTTGTACTCGTAAAACTATTAAATATGGAGGTTCAGGATTGTTAACATTTCATAATGGATGAATTCCTGGACTTGTTTAAGATTGCCATCACTGCAGTTGCTGCAATCCTGAAACAACAAAAAAGATGCCATGTGGTAGAAACACTGGATAGCTCGAAAGTGAATGTCAACTCATTACAGCTTCATCCTGCCTTGTTAGAAAGCTGTGGTCCTTTGATTGATAAACCAGCCAACTTATGGCTGCAGTATAACAGTCTAAGTCCACCAGATACTCAGGAGAAATGGGATAATCATCAGTTTGTTCACAAGACACATGTGGGCTTTTATATATGTGATGGGTAATTATTAAAACATTTTCTAAGATCTTAAAAGGGAAAAACTAAGCATTTTTTCATCAGCTGTAATCAGTATAATATAAGTAGAAATAATGGATTTGTTTCTATAAAAAATACAGGTATTTCCAATATTTATGCAGCTAAAAAATTAGTACCATTATTTGATTAAGTATACTGTTGTTTTATTTACTTATTGTTTCTGAGGAATAATCTTTGTTTCTAAAGATAACCATTTTGTGTATATTTTTTGTCATTATTTTGTTGTCTTTTTTGTTTTTTTATAAGTTTTTTTTTACACAATTTCTGATTCACCAATCATCTGACTTAGTTTTGTTTAAATTAGTTCTTAAATTTGAAACTTCTTCAAGGATTATACAATGATGTTTAGTAGATGCAGTTTGTTTACCCAAATATTTGTTCAGGATAAGCCATAGAAACAATAAATAAATAACTAAATATTTTCTTTACATTTTTAATAAAAAATTTAATCTAAGTTTGAAAATGACAATTTTATAGACAGTTGAAGGTTTATGCCCCGGACAGTAAACAGCCACTTTTGGATCGACAAAGAGCTGATCTTTCAGAGGTAAGACTGTTTAGAATTAGACAAAAATGGAAGTAAAAACACTTGACTTACAAAAAAACTTGTAGTTTGATAATGTTTGTAGAAAATAATATTTCAAACTTGTATACTAGAATTTTTTTAAATATTCTTAACCAAGATATTTGTGCTCAGTTGTGAACAAACATACTGGGTTATGTATATTGTTTTAATGTTAAAAAAACTTACCAGTTGAAGTAACACATAGTGGTTTTCATACCTGACTGATTTCTATTTTTTGAACATTTTTTCAATTGATGTTGTAATTTCATCTTGTGAAGAGTTCTTTCAAGAGATTGAAAACTTGTGGGTTAGTAAAACTTTTACATTTCTATGTAGTACTTCAGTCTGTAAGTATTTTTTTAACATTAAAATTATACTTTGTTCATGAATAATAATTAGCTGTTTTTTTTCTTAATGCTATTCTCTTGGATATATTTGTTAAAGTAAAAAAAAAGCATAGCTATTATAATAATAGCTGTACCATCATCTTCAGTGCAATATGAATAAGTTTTTAAGTATGATGAATGTTTTTAAACAATGTACAAAATATTGAGTTACTGTACCTTTGCTAAATTTACATTTTGTTTATAGTTCTGGAAATATATTTAGAAGTAATAAGAATTTTTTTTATTTCTTCACTCTTTAGGGTGAAATGGCTATATATGATGCCTTCAGCAATCAGCAGTTTGTAGATCAATTGATGAATTATTTGTCATTGGAGGAGAGAAAAGGGCAGGACAAGTTTGATGCTAAACGGTTTCACATGTTCAAGGTGGGAAATACTTTTAGATGAAACCATATTTGTCTCATTTCTGTAAAGTATGACAAATGATAGAATGAGTTAGGAAGTGTATGGAAAACATTTTAAAAAACATGCACTAAACTAGCAGAGAAAGCTTTTGTTTGTTACACACCTTCATACATTTAGCTTATAGATAATTGAGTGTGTGTGTGTATATATATATATATATATATATATATATATGTGTGTGTGTGTGTGTGTGTGTGTGTGTGTGTGTGTTTGGAAAAATTCTTTAAACCAAAGTGTGTTTCAAAACATATCATAAATATACTTTTCTTCATCAAAAGAATGCATGTGTAATCATATAAGAGAGAATCAATCTAGTGACTACTCTGTATATTAGTGTTCAAAGTGCATGCATTTTTAAACGGTAGTATTTTGTAATATTACAAGTTATGAGAAACGTACAGTCATCTCTACTGATTTCTTAATTACTTGAACAGGAAACTTTGCTTAGTTGTTCTTTCCTTCCTGAAAATGTTTTTGTGCTAAATTGTATTTATTTGAGGGCTGTAGAAATTTTCGTCTGTCACAAGATGTCAATTAAGCTTAGTTAGGTTTAATTAGTACAGTAGGCAATGACAAAATATTCTGATGGCTCAAATCCCTATTTATTGAACATTATTGATAGGTTTATTTTATTCAAACAATGTCCACAATTAAAAGAACACTATTTATTGGAAATACACTGCAATGATCGGATATAAATTGACCTTGACCAAGCATATAGTAAGGTAAAATGACAAAACCTAGCCTGACAAAAGTAAGTATGGAGTTATTTTAAAAGGTGACATCCTAGGTCAACAATAAATACTTGTCAAAGTAAGTATGGAGTTATTTTGAAAGGTGACATCCTAGGTCAACAATAAATACTTGTCAAAGTAAGTATGGAGTTATTTTAAAAGGTGACATCCTAGGTCAACAATAAATACTTGTCAAAGTAAGTATGGAGTTATTTTGAAAGGTGACATCCTAGGTCAACAATAAATACTTGTCAGTTTTTCCATGTTTTTTATGATTTGTAGCCAGAAATGGTGACTACTGCAATTATTAAAGTAAATTATCAAAAGGAATATATTAGTAAAGTTGAATCTGGCTAGGTATATAAAATGAAACTTTCTGATCAGCAAAAAAGGAAATTGAAACCCTAAGATGAAGAATTTTTAACATTTTTTTAATACAATATCATCTGTCAACAATATTTTACACTCAAAAATGACAGAAATACTAAATTTTATTGTATTAATCTTTTAAGTAAGTTGGTACTAATTTTTATGCAATTTGTTTAAGCATTCCCACAGTAAGAAGGAAAAACCTGGATATCAGTGAGACCCTTCCAATCCATAAAAGGTTACAGAGTCACCCAAACTCCTTTTTTTTTTGCTGTGTTTCATTGCAAACAAGGGCATTTCCTTCAGTAATAGAGATTTAAATCCTACTAGCATGTGCCAGCCAAAGGAAGATTTGGAATGTGATTTATTGGAACACAACAAGAGTACATTGTGACAAAAAATGATTGAAATATTGTAATAGTTGATTTTTTGACATATATTTCAAACATGGCCAGCAGAATATTGTATTTGAAAATATTATTTTCTAATTTATGATGATTCATTGTATGTAGGTACTATTACTTACAAAGTTTGCTTTTTTGTTAGTTTAAGGCATTTGTATAAGTAGTTTTAATTCTTTTTTTTTTTCAATAACATGTTATGTTTATTCAAAAGCCTTTAATTAGTGAATAAAATAAAATATTAAAACA